AGATAGAGGGCCCCTGATTTCAACCTCCAATATTGTGGCATGGGGGTGAGGGAGAAACTTGCAGATACAATGAGCCTTTACCCTCTTAATATTACAATAGGTAATTCCCAAACGTAAGAACATTAGTATCACCATGGTATATATTTACACTTAAGAAAACTAACCATTCTCTAATATCAGCTAGTAGTCAGTTGTGAAAGAAATTTAAAAGTTGTCAAAATCAAAATGGAGATGCTGCCTCTGTCAACCCTAACAAAAATCAATAAATAAAGCTAAGAAGTTAGAAAGAAAGGGTTCTTACTAATGATTGCCTTATACTATCACAAAATACTCTGCCAGAAACACCAGCTTGCTTAGAGCAGCCACAACCTCATACAAAATATACTTCTGTAATGCGTCTATGCAGCAACTGTGCTCAACCTTGGACTGAGGCCATTCTTACCATTAATCTTTGTGGCCAAGAGTCTGTTTCAACATAACTGAAATAGTCCTTATTTTTTCTTGCCTTAACCCCTGAATGTGCATATAACATATTATGCACAAATGTTGCCTTTACAGAGTCCTACCATTTATGTTGCAATGCTCTTCCCAAGTAAATATTATTCCTTGGAAGATCTCTGTGTAATTGTTTTTTTCTAAATTTAGAACACCATGTTCCATAGTCAAATGTGTCCATGTGTCCAGTTGTTTAAAACAGTTTTATAGTTTTTCAGGTTGTGTTTATTTTTATTGATTTATTTTGTAGTTGTAGATGGACAGGATGCCTTTATCTTATTTGTTTATTTTTATGTGGTGCTAAGAATTGAACCCAGTGCCTCGCACATGCTAGGCAAGCGCTCTGCCACTGAGTTACAGCCCCAGCCCCCTCCGGTTGTGTTTTGATCTCAGTATCCAATGTTACCTACATGCATTGCATTTGGTTATGTCCTTGTGTGCACACCACATCCAGGGCCTGGACATGCAAGTACTCTACCAGTGAGCTACATTCCCAGCCCAGCAGCTATGTCTTTTTTAATTGGAAAAACTCCACATTTTCTCCCATTACATTGACATTCAAAGTCTGAGACACTTTTCTTGTAGAATGTGTCACATTCTATATTTGTCGGATTCTTTTTCTTTGTTTTTTGTTTTGTTTTGTTTTGTTTTTAAATACCAGTGATTGAACTCAGGGACACTTGACCACTCAGCCACATCCCCAGCCCTATTTTGTATTTTATTTAGAGGCAGGGTCTCACTGAGTTGCTTAGCACCTTGCTTTTTGCTGAGGCTGGTTTCAAACTCAGGATCCTCCTGTCTCAGCCTCCCAAGCTGCTGGGATAACAGGCGGAGCTCCACCGT